AGGTCAGTGCGTCCTTTTCCGCTCACCTCTGCAGTCACAAAGCGCCAATGGCTGTTCTATTGTTAGCCTGATGAGTTAGATTGAGCACAGGGGAGGCAGGGGGGAGTGCATTCCAGGTGGGATGGAATAATTTGGATAGAAGAAGGAACATTTTAAAAAGTGTACTGAGGCATGCTAACGTATGGGTGAACCTCAAAAACATGATGCTAAGTGAAAGAAACCAGCCATAAAAGGCCACATATCGTGTGACTCCGTTTATATGAAATATCCGGGGTAGACAAGTCCATAGGAAACAGATTGGTGACTGCAGGGGCAGCATGGCGGAGAGAATGGGGAGAGTGCTTGGTGGGTGAGGGGCCTTATTTTGGTGTGATGGACACATTTGGGAGGTAGGTAATGATGGTGGCTCCACAACATGGGAACATGCGAAATGCCACTGAATTGTTCACTTCAAAATGGTTAATATAATGTAATGAGAATTTCATCTGGATTTTTTAAAAAAACATAATGCCCCTAGCCCTAGCCGGCTTGGCTCAGTGGATAAGAGCGTCAGCCTGCCAACGGAAGGGTCCCAGGTTCGATTCCAGTCAAGGGCACATGCCTGGGTTTCAGGCTCGATCCAGTAGGAGGCAGTCAATCAATGATTCTCTCTCATCATTGATGTTTCTATCTCTCTCTCCTTCTCCCTTCCTCTCTGAAATCAATAAAGAAACATATTTAAAACAATTAAAAAACAAAAACATAATGCCCTAGCCGGTTTGACTCTGGATAGAATGTCGGCCTACGGACTGAAGGGTCCCGGGGTTCGATTCCGGTTAAAGGTACATGCCTGGGTTGCAGGCTCCATTGCCAGTAGGGGACATGCAGGAGGCAGCTGATCAATGATTCTCTCTCATCATTGATGTTTCTCTCTCTCCCTCTCTCTTCCTCTCTGAAATCTATAAAAACATATTTTAAAAAATTACATAATGATTAACTGTGCAATACCCTTTGTCCGGTATGCGGGGCACGGTGCTAGAAAGTGAGGATGAAAAGAAGAACACAGTACCCGGCTTGATGGGGCTCACAACCCACTTGGGGGCAGTGGCCAGATGAGGAGGCATGTAGATACTGTGTCAGGGTGCACAGTGAGGGCAGAGGGAGCACTGTACAACGCAATATAATGCGAGGCACATACATCACTTCACATTTTTAAAAAGTACAGAGAGTCCTAGCCGGTTTGGCTTAGTGGATAGAGTGTTAGCCTGCAGTTCGATCAAGGGCACCTGCCTTAGTTACAGGGTCAATCTGCAATCCCCACAGTTTTCAACCAGCCCCCCTCCCCTCTGGCAACTTTGTCTGTTCTTTGTATCTATGAGTCTGTTTCTGTTTTGTTTGTTCACTTAGATTCTACCTATAAGCGAAATCATACGGTACTTGTCTTTCTCCGCCTGACTTATTTCACTTAGCCCAATATCTCCTCCAAGTTGCTGTGGGGAGGACTGTGTGGAGTGATTGATGTATGTTCATGCCTGGGTCCTAAAGGCACATGGGACTGTCAGAGAGGGCGGGGAAAGAAAAAGGTGTGGCAGGGGGGGGGGAAAGAGGGCGGGGACAGATCCCGCCAAAGTCACAGTTGGAAAAAAAGCTGGGAAACACTGATTCGGAGCAAGCCGGGCAGCCACATTGTAAAGAAGTCTACAAAAGCCACCATATCACACCTCTTTCTTTACAG